CCTTCCTTCCTTCCTTCCTTCCTTCCTTCCTTCCTTCCTTCCTTCCTCTTCTTTCTTTCTTTCTTTTCTTTTCCTTTCTTTTCTTCTCTTCTTTTCTTTTTTCCATGTTTCTATTTACTCAGTTACGTTTTTGGGGATTTTTTTTAGACAGGGTTCCTCTTTGTAGTTCTGGCTGTCCTGGAACTCACTGTGTAGAACAGGTTGCTTTTTATATCAGAGACCCCCTGCCTCTGCCTTCTAAGTACATGTGACACCATTCCCAGCCCACACATTATTATTATTATTCTGTTACTTCAGTTTGATTTTTTTTAATTCACTGATTCACATTCAAAAGAATTCTAGGACAGGAGGATGGAAAGTGGAAGAAGCACATTGTGTGAGAGTGAAATTAAGGCACTATGCTTCTGAGAATAATAGTTTCCCAGTATCACACAGCAAGTAAGTGGTCCGGATCAAAAATATGCCCCATATCTCTACAGATAATAGTCTACATTCCCTCTTCCTTCTCAGAATGCTCAGGAGAGTTCAAGGACATCTATGGTTAGAATGACAGGGAGTCAGTGCTGGTCAAAAGGGAAAGGTTTGAGATGTGTAATTTTTTATCCCTAGGTGTCAGACCTTGAAACTGAAACAGCCCCAAACTGTCCCCCTAAAAAGGAGAAGAAGGTTTCAAGCCCCAGATCTGAAAGGCTTGCTGCACGCGTATCAAGGTGAGGGCAGCTAAATTCTGTGATTCTTTGTATGATTCTAGGTATAACTGGACTGCATATAGAAGAGAGTTAGGATTCTGAATATGTGTAGAGGAACAGAGAAGAGGAGATAGTGTTTCCCTTTGGTGTCATCATTCATCCTGTCCTATATCTACAATTACCAAAATTTCCCCTCATCTGGAGAAGACATGGACTTTGATGGTTTGATTCCATCACTTGTACTTACTGCTGTAAACTTTCATCATTTCAGGGCTCATGGATGTCCAGAAATACTGGGGTAAGGAGAAACCACAGCACCATGATCCTCTCTCCTCTCAATGTCTTCCAGAGTATATTTCTCTCTTAAGTCTCGTGTTTTATGTTGCTTCTCCCACTCTGTACAGGATCTGCCCCTCCTTGACTTTAAACAAGGCTTCTTCATGTTTCCTTTCTCTTTCTCCTTATGCCTCTGTTGCTTAAGTCACAAATAAGGCTGTACCTTGAACATCATCTGACTCAAAATATATATGTCTCATTTTTCTGCAGTTGATATGACTCTACAGGCAAAGGACAATGAAGTCATTGTTGACAAAGAAAAACGACAAATAGAATATCTGAGTTACTATAAGAGGAATCTTCAAATTTCTGAGACCTACCATTTGGGTGTCCTGGGATATCCAGCTATTTCCTCAGGGAAGCATTACTGGGAAGTAGACGTGTCTAAAAGTGATGCCTGGCTCCTCGGATTAAATGATGGGAAGTGTACTCAACCCCAACGTCACTCAATGGGTGAAATGACCTACAAAATGCAAAATATTTCTAATGTTAAACAACGTGAAATGTATCAGCCTAAATGTGGCTACTGGATTATAGGGAAGAAGAATACGTCTGTATACAATGCCTTTGATGAATGTTCTATCACTCACAATTCCAGTGTCTTGGCCCTCTCTCTGCCTGGTCCTCCCAGTCGTGTTGGAGTTTTCCTGGACCGGGAAGCTTGTACTCTCTCATTTTATGATGTTTCTAACTGTAGATCTCTCATCTATAGGTTCTATGACCCTGCCTTCCCTCCTAAAGTCTATCCATATTTTAATCCTATGGAATGTTCAAAGCCAATGACAGTGTGTGGGCCACCCTCTTAAACCCTCACCTATATCTCTGCAGTGCCTCCACGTCTGGTGTGTCTCATGTGCCAGAGTTCTCCTGCATCATTTTAACTTCTTTTCTCTTGGGTCCTTTATTTTAATGACCTTCACTTCTAACTACAAACCGGTGTGGATTCATTTCCTCCATCTAGTTGTTGGTCTGCTGACAAGATGATTACTGTCATTTGTCATTTCCATATTCCCAAAGACATTGACTGTTTCCTCAATAATTGAAAAAGAGCCTCTCCTAACACCATATCTGTAAGAACACAGTCAAAAAATGACTCATGGAGAACAATGGCTTAGGTACCTGTAACAGAGGCCCCAGAAAAAAGGCAGAGGGCCTTTTACTTTGAAGTACATTCTGTTCCCTGGATTGCTTTAAATGTGATTTTGTGCTTCCTACAAATAGAACATATGCATCCAAGTGGAAGATATGTTTATCTTGTTAGATGTCAGGACATAGCTATAGAACCCATTCCTGTGAAAAGATATACTAAGTGCTGGTTTCAATGTACACTGATTATAAATATGGGCTTATGCCTTGATTTCATGCTTTGCAAGATATAATCTAAAGTATAGTTCCAGACAACTGTGCTTATATGGTCTGCCTTGAGACAGTTGTAGAAAAGGTTTGCTCTGTGAATATTTAGTGTGTTCTTACTGGTATTTATTTACATGCCTTTCTGATTTTGTTTTCTGAACTCAAACAACCTTCCTGCTTTCTTTTGTACATTCATATTTAAAAGCACAGTGAAACTGAAGTGACATTGTCTGCAACATTAGGCTGTTGTCCTCCGTTCTTTAAGGTCTTCAAACCCAGTCTTACAGACAGAACTACCTAGGCCCACACTGGGAGACAGACCTTCCTTTTTTGTGGTACCAGAGCTAGAAGCCAGAGCTTCGTTTATGCTTACGAGTTGCTCTACCACTGAATTACTTGCCTCAGCTCACTCATGACTCCACAAACTTATTCTTTTTGTCACTGACAAAAATGAAAGAAAGTTCTTTTTCCAGCTTGTCTAGAAGTTTAGAAAATTATATATGGGAGTCTCTCTCTCTAAGGAATGTGCCTTAGCAGGTCAGTTTAACCACAATGCTTGTGTTTCATCAAAGAGTTCAGAAAAAAACTCGTGAAATGACACCTACTAACACCATGTGTCTAGTGTTTCCAGGTTCTAATCTTCCTCTCCACATAGCAGTGCAACCATGAATAAGATCCACTCAAGCCTATGTTTGTTTGATTTTTTTTCTATTGTTTAATTTTTCTGTTTTATTTTTCAGTTTTGGTATAAATGGTGCATCTATATTGCAGATCATTGTAGGAAAATAAATTTGAAATCTTTAGAAGGCTCTGAGGGTAAAAGCCCTTTCCTCTATGAGTGATGAACTAAGCTCATTTACTCAGACCATCTTGGCTGAAGGAGGCAGCCAGTTCTGACAGATGATCTTCTCACTCCACAGATATGCTACTGAACACCTAGGCTGAAACACATACACAAATTAAAAGGGATTATATAATTTTTGGTAAGAGAAGATCAATACTTATAATGCATCCACTGCACATTCAGTAGGTGGTGATTGTGTTAATTAATGGGTAGATGTGCTATCTTGATGTTCTATGTAACACTGTGTGACTGGGGAACGTAAGATATAGCGCTTCTCATGTCTTGATGTTAGGTCCTGGGAACTGCCACTAAGACTACTCTTAATATGTTGTAGATATCTATGAAATTTTTGTTTGTTTTCACCCATATTTTTTGAGAGGATATTTGATTAGAATATTCATTATCAAGTAAGTCAAATTCTATAATTTTCCATTTTACAATGAATGATAAAAATGACAATGATACCCATAAGTATACCTTCTGTTATGTTGTCAAATATAAACAATAGAATATTTCAAGAAAGTCATATTGCTTCTAATATGTAAAAGGTATCCAATATGGTGTCTGTTAACTTTTTCTCCCCTTTGATCTGAACATAATAAAGTACCATTAGAATGACAAACAGAGGTTGCCATGATGGTTTTGATACACTCCCAGCACTCAGGAGATCAGAGACAGGATGCTTTCAGTGTATCTGTAGCCAGGCTCAATTACACAGAATGACCTTGCTTTGGTTTGGTTTGGCTTGCTTTGCTTGTATGTTGAGGTTTACAATACATAGCAATAGATCAAAACTCAACACCTTTAAAGGAAAATGTGCTGCGGTTTAGATAAGGGAGGAGGTTCAAGAGATCACTGTAAAGGATTATTGGACAATGAGAGTTTATTTAAATATTCATACTGACATAAACAGAGACAGAGAGGACACAAAATGCATTGTGATTCCTAAGGAACTTGATGTCCCAGCACCACAGAAGACTGAATGGATGGATCTCTGCAGAGCATGGAAGCAGGCAAACTCCTCTTCTACCTTTTAACATGGGGGGGGGGCGGTTACGGTCTCAGCAAGAGTCTGGAGCCAGGCTCTCTTGTGGAGAGCCAGTGCAGCGCCCTAAAGATGGCGCGTGCTGCCGCCTTGTTGGAGTGATAAATAACTCCATATTTAGGCATGGGGCTGTGCTATGAGTGGTGTGATCTAGTGGGACCTATGGTGATTGGCCACGTGGCGGCCAGCCATTGGCAGAGGCTTTGGTATAAGAGTCAGAGCTGAGGGAAGAGGAGGGGCCAGAAGAAGAAAGGAGAAGCCAGAAGAATCCTGGTTAAACTGCCTCGAGAAGGAACCTGGTTGTCCTGCGCCTTCTTCCTGCTGGTCGGGGTCGGCACCGCACACTCTCTGATTTCAGAGCAAGAATCACAGCAGTCATGTAATACTGGACATAGTAACCTCCCATGGAAACTCACTTAGGTCAGTGTGGCTCCTGAAAGGCAGAAGACTCGGTCTCCTTTTTTTTTTTTTTTTTTTTTTGCGTTTTCGAGACAGGGTTTCTCTGTGTAGTCCTGACTGTCCTGGTAAATACTCAGTCTTCTTAAAGCAGCTGTCTATGTAAGACGAGTAGAGGAAGTACTTACAGTCTACAATCTACAATCCAGATTCTAGCATCACATGCTTGCAGAGTGTTCAGGAGCCCATTCAAAACCATCACCTTGCTTCAGTCATCAGGAAAATGAAAATCAAAGCAACTCTGAGATTCCATCATGCACCAATCAAAATAGCTAAGATCAAAGGCCCAGGTGACAGCAGATGTTGACAAGAATGTGGAGAAAGAGGAACACTCCTCTATTGCTGGTGGAATTGAAAGCTGGTAAAACCACCTTAGAAATCAATCTGGTGGTTCCTCAGAAAATTGAAAATAGTTCTACTTGAAGACTCAGCTACACCACTCCTGGGCGTATACCTAAAAGATGCTCCAACATATAACAAGGACACATATTCCACTACGTTCATAGCAGCCTTATTTATAATAGCCAGAAGCTAGAAACTACCCAGATGGTCCTCAGCAAAGGAATGGATACAGAAAATGTGGTACATTTACACAATGGAGTTTGACTCAGCTATTAAAAACAATGACTTCATGAAATTCAGAGGCAAATGGATAGAACTAGAACATATCATTCTGAGTGAGGTAACCCAGAAGAAAAGAACACACATGGTAAGTGGATATTAGCCCGAAAGTCCAGAGTACCCATGATACGACTTACAAACCATATAGACCATAAGAAGAAGGAAGACCAAAGTGTAGATGCTTCAATTCTACATAGAAGGGGAAGAAAATAATTACAGGGGTAGAAACAGATAGAGCCTGGGAGAGAGAGAGAGTAGATGAAGGGGAAGATGGGAAGAATCAAGTACTGGATGGAAAAGAAGTAAAGAGGATCAGAAAATTGAATATATGTATGTAGCAATGGGGGATCAGGACCTGGTGGTAGCCACTAGAAAGTCCCCTATGCCAGGGGAGCAAATGGTTCCCAGAAACCAACAAAGGTTTCACTTTGGCCAAAATATCCAACAAAGGGGAGATAGAACACCTTCAGTAGATAGGCACGGCCCCTAGTTGAGGGATGGGGCCACCTACCCATCTAAACATTTTTAAGCCAGAAATGTTCCTGTCCAAAGGAAAGACGGGAACAAAAAAATGGAACAGAGCATGAATGAAAGGCCATCCACCTAGGGATCTATTCCATCTGAAAACACCAAACCTGCACACTATTGCTGATATCAAGAAGCACTTGCTAACAGGAGCCTGGTATGGCTGTTCCCTGAGAGGTTATACCAGCACCTGGGAAATACAGATACAGATAGTCACAGCCAACCATTGGACTGAGCCTGGGGACCCCAGTGGAAGAGCTAGGGGAAGGAATGAAGGAGCTGAAGGGAATTGCAGCCCCATAGGAAGAACAATATCATCTAACTGAAACACCCAGATCTACCAGAGACTAAACCACCAACCAAAGAGTATACATGGAGCAATCCATGGCTCCAGATACACATGTAGCAGAGGATGGGCTTATCTTACATCCATGGGAGGCAAGGCTCTTGGTCCTATGGAGGCCTGATTTGCAATCATAGGGGCATGCTAGAGCATTGAGGCAGGAGTGGATGAGTAGGTGGAAGAGTGTGGGACTGTATAAGGGTATCCTGGGTCATGGTTGAGCAGGTACTTAGAACCCCGAGATTCTCCGTGGAATTCTGCGTGAGAACCGGCAGGAGTTCTGTACCTCCCATCATCTAGGATCCTGAAAACAGCCACATTTCCATAGAGTCACATAGGCCAGGCTTTAGGCCTCAAGCCCTAGAGATTTACATACTAATGAAGGCCAGAGGGCAGAGCAAATTAAACATTCCTCCCCCAGATCCTCCCCTAATCCTCCCCCTTTCTCCCTCCCTATATAACTCGGGGACGGCCCTGAGTTTTTGGGGGTACGCCTAGATCCATCTATTATCCGTCATGTCAATAAACCTTTTTGGAACCAAGGACTTCCTCGTGTTACTGGGGCCTGCCGCTGCCAAGGCCCTCAGGCCGCTGGAACCGTAGGATCTTCTTCCCTGATGTGGGACCTGCCACGGCGGTGCAAGCTTGCGCCGCTGTGGCGGGCCTTTTAAAAATTTTCCCCACAGAAGAGTACCCTCATAGAGGCAGAGGAGAGGGGAGAATAGTATGAGTTTGTGGAGAGGTAACCAGGAAGGGAGATATCATTTCAAATGTAAATGAATAAAATGAGCCAGAAAAAAGAAAAAGAATGGGTTTTCCTACCTACTATACTGTTTCCACTGTTTGATTTCAATCATGCCTGGACTGTCCAAATCCATCCCAGCTTCCAAGAAGGGTTCCAAGAAGGCTGTCACCACGGCACAAAAGGAAGACTGCAAGAAGGGCATGTGCAGCCAAAAGGAGAGTTACTCCATCTATGTGTACAAGTTGTGAAGCAGGTACACCCAGACACTGGCATCTCGTCTAAGGCCATGAGCATCATGAACTCATTCGTCAATGACATCTTTGAGCACATTGCAAATGAGACTTCTCATCTTGCACATTACAACATGTGGTCTACAATCACATTGCCTGAAATCCAGATGGCAGTGAGCCTCCTACTTCCTGGAGAAGTGGCTAAACACACCATGTCCAAGGGCAACAAGGCTATCACCAAGTACACCTACGCCAAATAGAAGCCACCCTGAATGAAGCTGGCTCTTTTGGTCTTTAAAGGTTGCTGCATACACCCATTCAAATCAGGAGAGAGCTTTGTTTTACATTGGTTTACATTTTATTTTGCAATAGCTTCTAGTTCCTGTTCCAAAGTTACTTTAAGGGTCTTGGAAAGGTACACTTCAGAAGTTTTAAGCCTTTGTGGTTTTGGGTTACTCTGTGGGTACTTGGATATTAGCTGTACCCTACTTACATTTCTTTTTGGATTTCTTTTTAGATTAGGATAATGGAGGTGGGTTTCTGGGACCCACTTCCTTGTTCTAGACTGTTGTTTCTGGATGTCTTTTATTTGTCAATCTAAAGTAAGGTGGTTTCCTTATTTTGGCAATTAGAGGGCTCCAGAACACAGCTAAGTCTGTGCAAAAAGATGTTTAGTATCAGCCGACTATAACCAAAACCACCTCTGTCTCTTAACTTGATGTGTCCTGGGCACCAGCTTAGGCTGGCATCCCTCTAACCTACTGATTTACAAACACAAACGCTCCTCATTGCTACAGATTTTGTAGAAGTCTGTTGTGATTCTTTATCGGGCTTTAGAATCTCTGCTTGTGGCTTGCTTGCTTCATATATTTGTTTGTTTGTTTGTTTGTTTGTTTGTTTGTTTTGTTTCTCTTTTTTTTCATTTAATACTTTGTGTTAACCACTGCAGTGCCAAATTACCACAAGGATACTGCTCCTTTTCTCTCTGGCCCATGAAGCAATCTTTCTAATCCACACACTCAGGAATTAGCTTTTTCCTTCCTGTCATGTCTCCATGAGAATTTGTCTGAAGTTCACTTTGCTTCCTTGTTTACTCTGTTGCTGATCAAGTTGTTCTGATATTTTTTGTACCTCTAGATCCCACCAATGTCTTACCCACAGCAGATGCTACTCTTCTAGATTACTTACTGTTTTAATTTTTATGTAAATTCTGGGACAGCCAGGGCCTTGTCTATTTGATGTATATGAAGACACTACAGAACAGAAATGTTTCGAGGATTCTTTTTCCAAATTTGTCTTTAGCTACAGTTACTGTGGTGGCTGTTCTTGGTTGTCAACCAAAGCAGCTGGGTAACCTTCTTCAATAGAAGAAGCAGATACGGAGGAAAAGACAAAAATTTGTGAAATAAATTCAAACTACTGGGTCATATCTACTGTCACTCATCATCCCATAGTTTAGCAGATCTGAGAATGTAGAGAAATAATGAGAGAGGCAAACAGGGTGGGGATGAGAGGTTATGGTGACTGCACAGGTTTCTCTACTGTTCCCTCACTCAACCAACTTTCTTTCTCTAATTAACTCTCTCTCTCTCTCTCTCTTTCTTTCTTTCTTTCTTTCTTTCTTTCTTTCTTTCTTTCTTTCTTCCTTCCTTCCTTC